AGGAGTGCAAGGACACTAACAGTCTTTTCTCTGGTCCATCCTGAGTGTCTAGAACAGTATCTGGCGCAGAACAGTATCTGGTTTCTAAACATCCTGGTTTAATATGACCCTAGATGTCCAGTGCACAAAATTCGTGCACTTGGGGGCAGGGGTCCCTCAGCCTAGCCTGTGCCCTCTCACAGTCTGGGACCCCTTGCTCCTTACCGTCGCCTGCAGCAGAGGCAGGAGAGACTCCCGCCACCACTGCTGCGCTCACCACCCTTGAGCCCAGCTTCTGGCTGAGCTGTGCTCCCCCTGTGGGAGCCCACTGACCACCAGGGGGCAGCTCCTGTGTTGAGCGTTTGTCCCCTGGTTATCAGTTCATATCATAGTGACTGGTCGTTCTGCCATTCAGTTGATTTGCATATTAGGGTTTTATTATATAGGATAAGAAAGTAGTTCTCATTCATTCATTCATTCATTCATTCATTTGCTTATTCATATATTCATTCAGTAGTATTTATTGAGTACTAATGGTATACACACCACTGTGTTGAGAGCTATCATAGAATAGTTAACAGTACAGACACAATCCCTGCCCCCACAGAGCTAACAGTCAAATGGCAGGAGACAGATCACACACAAGTAAATCTATAAGTAAATTGATACTAAGTTGAACCTCATGAAATTGCCAATATTCAACCAACTTTGCCCTCAAAAATGGTAATATTTCAACATAATTGTTCTGTGGTAGTTTCTCCCACAAGGCACCTGTATTAGCCAGGGTTCTCCAGAGAAACAGAACCTACAGTAGTTACACATAAAGAGATTTCTTATATGGAATTGCCATTGACAAGTCCAAAATCTGAAGAGCCAAGGTCCCCAACGGTTTGAGTCTGAAGGCCAGCAGGCTGCTGTAGTCCCAGGAGGAGCCTACGCTCAATTTGAAGGTCATGAGATGGGAACATTCTCTCTTACTCTGTAGGGCCAGCCTTTTGTTCTATTCATGCCTTCAACTGATTGGGTAAGGCCGACCTACATTATGGAGGGCAACCTGCTTGACTCACTCTACCAATTTAAATGTTAATCTCATTCAAAGGCACACTCTCAGACACATCCAGAATAAAGTTTGACCAAATATTTGGGCACCCCATGGCCCAGTTATGTTGACCCATAAAATTTACCACTACAGTACCTTTAGGATCTTGCTACTCAGAGTGTGGCCTGTGGACCGGTAGCATATCCATTACCTGGGAGCCTGAGCAGAATCTCAGATCCTGCTTTGCACTTATTGAAACATAATCTGCATTTGAACAAGATCCCTAGGTAATACTAATGCACATTTAAGTTTGAAAAGTACCCAGACTCTATGCCACAAATAATTGCCAAATGTTTGGGCATTTGGCTTGCAGCACATGGTTGGTTCCTGCCATTGTCTAATTCATTAAATTTTTTGACACATCCCTATTTATAACATGCTTTTTAAAGCATGCATCCCAATATATGCCACATTTATTTTATCTATACACCTACCAGTGAACAATTATTAGGTACATTATAAAGCATACAAAGGACAGAGACTTTAAAATGAGCTGAAGGTGAAATAAATAATTTTAAATTTGTCACTAATCATGATGACTTCCTGCAGTCTTTAGCTACGATCTCAAAGCATGATACACATGGAGGATGAAGTTCATCACTAATAAATAAATCCATATTTTGATTATTCCTCATGAGAGTTTTAATTATTTTGGGCTGACTTCATTTTGATCTGAACAGACCATCATTATTTTAACCCTGTGAGAAGCTGTTGACAAGCGGGGGAGAGTCAACTCTATTATTTTCTTGTACGTTGCTTTATCAGTATTTTTTTCAGGCTTCGGTTTTGTTGAGAGGGATATTTTAAAGTGACATGTCTCCTTAGTGATGGTTAGCATAGTTAAAACTATATAATTTGGCCCAGCTGGTGTGGCTCTATGGTTGAGCATCAGTGTCAATCCGTGAACCAGGAGGTCACTGTTTGACTTCAGGTCAGGGCATATGCCTGGGTTTTGGGCTCGATCCCTACTAGGGGGTATGCAGGAGGCAGCCGGTCAGTGATTCTCTCTTATCATTGGTGTTTCTACCACTCTTGTTCTCTCCCTTCCTCTTTCTGCAATCAATAAAAAAACATTTAAAAACTAGATAATTATCTGCATATCCCCTTTAGAGGTGCACAAACTGCAGTACAGGCATTTGCCTCATTTGATCCAAGATTCCTGATTCTCACCACCTGATGTGGGCATTCCAACGGAGGGCACCAGCATCAACACACATATCAAATGGATTTCTCATTTTTAATAACTTACCAAATAGATTTCTTATTTCAAAGACCATATATAGAGATTCTCATATTTCCTCCCCCCATGCCAAATCATTTTCTGCAGTCCCTGGACCCTGGAGTGAGGGAACCATGCCTTGAAGACTCCTTGTCCAGGACAGGGAGATCTTTAAGAATCGTTGTCTCTGCTGCACGCTCTGGGAAGGGCTGCTTTGGGGAAAAGTGTCCCTGGGGCTGGATTTTCATGAGTTTTGGCTTTCAGGAGAAGCCCAGGGGATCTGCAGATGGCCACGTTCACGGTACCTGTTCTGATTATGACTTTGCTATCCTCTTGAAAGCCTGAGTACCTTGGAATTCTGGGGTGGAGGTGGGGGACTCTTTAGGGAATCTGGTGAAAGCGATGGCTTCTTGTTCCAGAACAATGCACACATAAAATTTCCATTCAGTTCCAGAAGGGTACAGAATTCCCCTGAAGCTCATGATGAACCTGTTTAGAAGTGAAAAGGGCAAATTAGGTTTGGGAGACATCTGCTCTTTGCCTCAAAGGTTCCTACGCTGCAGCCCCTTTCCATTTCAGATCCTGGCAACTGCACAGAGGTGAGAAAGGGCCTGCACTCTGTTTTCAAGACACTCAGATTTGCATCCTAGTCCTCTGATGATTAGCTGGTTAACTTGGGCAGTTTTTTTTTATTCTGTAAAGTGGGTTTAATCATCCTCACCTTGTAATACTCTCCCCCTTGTTTGCCATCACCTTTCAGCTTTGTTGACCTTGTTTGTTCCTTAGGTAACCCAACTCTTTCCTGTCTCAGGCCTTTGTGTTTGCTGCTCCCTCTGCCTGGAATGTTTCTTATTTGAATCTTTTTGTGACCAACTCATTTGCACCATTCAGGGCTCAACTCAAATGTTACCTCCTCAGAAAGTCTTTTCCTGGTCACCTCATCTCTCTCTCTCTCTCTCTCTCTCTCTCTCTCTCTCTCAGTTAATTTAGAATGTTTTTTTAAAAAGTGTGCAATTCAGTGGTTTTTAGTATATTCACAAAGTTGAGGAAACATCGCCACTATCTAATTCTAGAACATTTTCATCACCCTAAAAAGAAACCCCTCACTTATTAGCAGTCACTTCCCATGTCCCATAAAATCCACCATCTTAACCATTTTAATTTGTACAATTTAGTGCTTTTTCATATCTAACCATCACAACTCTCACGTTCCTGAACCTTTTATTACTCCAAACAGAAACTCCATATAGAACAGTCACTCCCCAGTCCTCTCTCCCTCATCTCCTGGCAACCACCAATCTCTCTGTCTATAGATTTGCTTATTCTGAACATTTCACATAAATGAAATTATACAATATGTGGCTTTTTGTGTCTGGCTTCTCTCACTTGAGTATCATGTTTCCAAGTTTCATTCATGTTGTTGCAGATATCAGTACTTCATTCCTTTTTCATGGCTGAATAGTATTCCACTCCATATAACCCATTTTGCTTAGTCATTCATCACTTGATTTGGGTTGTCTCTGTTTTTGGGCCATTGTGAATAATGCCGCCAAGCACCAGTTTCTCTTGATCATGTTATACTTTTATTTATTTAATTTTTGTAGCCCGTGTATATTTATTGAACACATATGTTTGTATTCGATCCCCTGGAAAATAAGCACCAGGAGGCAGGGATCTTGTCTTTCTTGTATGCTGCTGTTTCCCCAGGGCCTTGGTTAGTGCCTGGCACAGAGTGGGCAATCAATATGTGTTGGATGAATGACTGAATGAATGAATGGAGCTATTGCTATTGTCTTGTTTCCTAGCAGACTCCATCTTTTCCTCTAATTCACGTGGGACTCTTGCTGTGTTGACCTGTGTCTCTCTCACATCTGACATTTTTCACCAGCTGCGGTTCCAGGCTGCGAGCTTGGGGGAATGATTGCCCATGGGGCAATGGGACAATGGGAAGTGGAAGGCACCTGAAACATTGCTGGGGCCCCAGGTTCTCTGTTTTCTCCCCATCCCCGACTACTGATTAAGAGGGGCACCAGCATGGGCTGTATACGGATTACACTACATCCTTCACAGCTGCAGGAAAGCCCATGCACACAGTGTACAGGGCTGTGAATACAGATTCTCGTTCAAATCCCGGTGCTACAACTTACTGGCTGTGTGACCTTGAGCAAGTTAATTCACCTCTCTGAGCCTTGGTTTACTTATCTACAATGAAGGAATAATGATCCTCATAAGGTGTTTATAGGCTGCTTAGTTGAATAAAGGCATGTAACGTGATTAGCATGGTGCCTGGCTTATAGTCAGTACTCAATAAATGTTATTTGTTACTAATAGTGGGCCGTTGCTGTACATGAAGTGTTGGCATCTAGTATTAGATGTAAGGGGAGACTCAATCTATGGGCTGCAGATATATTACATATATTCATCATTTAGTCCTCTCAACAACGCTGTGAAGTAGCTGATACTGCCATTACACAGCTGTCGTGGGAAGCATGTGAGCTGTTCTGCATGAAGTCCTATGTACCCTCTAATTGCACTGCTCTTATTTACTTACTTGTGTCTCTCTCCCCTCACCCCCATCTCTAACCAGAATGGCGGCTCCATGCAGTGAGGGGCCTTGTCTTCTGTTCGCAAGCACAGCGCTCGGAGCACAGCAGATGCCAATTGTATTTTGAATGAACAGACTTCAATTCTCTCCTCTTTCAGGGCCCTTGCAGATGTCATGAGGCCGCAGGGCCACTGCAACACCGACCACATGGAGAGAGACCTCAACATCGTGGTCCACGTGCAGCATTATGAGAACATGGATACCAGAACCCCCATAAATAATCTTCGTAAGTAGCGCTGCGTGATCCATTTCCAGTCCCACATGGTGACCAAGGCAGTGGTCACCCTTCCAGATTTCCTGGTGTGTGTTTGGGTCCATTAAGAGCTCCTCTTCATTGATTAGTTAGAAGATTTATTTCATCTCTCCTGAATGAAACTGTGTGTGGCATCATCAGAGTTTACTTCATTTGTTTCTCTGTGAAAGAGTGATTCACTTGGTTGAGTTCTCAGGCTTGGTTCTTCTGTTAATTAATAGACCACTTGGTGGGCTCATCTTGGTTGGGTACTTAGTTAACCAATGGATTACTTGGCTGGCTCATCTTAGGGAGTTAATCTGTTAGCCAATGACCCATTTTGTTGGTTCATCTTCTGTTAAAATCCCTGGGTAATTTGCTAAGCGATGGTCCATTTGCTCATTTGTCTGCCTCCTAAGGTAGACCAGTTGTGACTTTTAGGTTTTATACTGTTTTCAATGAACAGATACTAGTTCAGAAGAATTAGATCTATTTTTCATAAAACTAAAGTTTCATAAAAATAATCCACAAACTTCTTTGTGTGTGTGTGTGTTTGCGTGTGCGCATGCTATGCACATTTGTGTGCTGGGAGTTGTAGTTATGTTGTTTAGGGGTGTGTATGTGTGATTCAACAGTAGCAAATTCCATTCTGTTGTCCTTTCAAGACAAGAAAAGCTGCATTTGTTATTGTGTTTTATTCTTTAGCGGATGGAGCCTACTTGGGGATCTTGGTATGCTCCTAAAGATATTCTTCCCTCTCAAAGGTCTGTATATACAACATACATTATGGATTTGATACACTGACTAATGGGAGTGGGGAAAATAGGATTGTTTAATTTTTTGACAATAGTGTACTATCATGGTTATTCCTAGCAATTATGCTTTCAAGTAACCGCCCCCCCTTCCACCACCACCACCACACACACATTAAAGTAATGCAGAGGCTTTGGTTTAAAATAAAAGCCAGACAATTTAAAGGATGCATTTAGTTGTGGCTGGAGGTTCTTAAAAACAGAAATGGTTCTGTCATTGAAAATCTTATAGTCTGGGCTGCCTTCGCTGAAGCTCTGCTAGGAGCTGCATTGGTGTTTTATTTGTTGAATCATAATTTAGGACTGTTTAGTTACAAATTTTTATTCTTGATGTGTAGAGGAATACATCTGTGGAATTTGACATAGGTGAGGTGAATTCTCTGGTTCTGCATGGTGATAATTTCTCATGGCCTTGGAAATGTTACAGTACATTCACAAAATCAATGTTTACACAGTTTGAAAATGGGTACCAAGTAGAATGTCTTAGGTTTCATTGTTTTAAATAATTCAACATTATTTATTCATGAATCAGGTCATAAAATGGTATGAGAAAAGCCACAATTTAGAGCAAAATACACCAGCAGCTGGAAGTTTTATGATCACATCTCACAGCTGTAAAAGATATGTTATATTGCACAAACTCTGACATGGCAATTGCTATGTCCAATTCTGGGTTCGATGGAAATGAAAGCATCCCTTTTAGATGGCACAGGAAATAAGTTGAACCTACGTGTCTATGGATCCTGAACTTCATACGTGGGTGAACGTGATCATGGCGTAGAAAGAGCTGAAATGGGGCTGAGTACCTGGCTGTAAAAGGTGACTGTTAACAAGTTTCTCATTGGACATTTCAATCTTTAGGATGATTTTTGAATCAGCACTCACATGAAATAGCAAACTTACTGAAGTCATCCACATTTCATCATTCCATTAAGTGAAGGGCAGGACACATCAATGAATCTTGCTTAATAAGGGACTTTTATTTTAAAGTTGCACTGAAATAAATGATTGCTTAGAAATGTGTCTAGGCACTGAGTAATTCAAAAATTTCTTATAACAGGCTAACTTGGTTTATTTATAATTCTTGCTTTTAGTCTATATTTATGTCTCAGTAATCAGTGATCTTTTCTACTAAGAAAAAAATGTGTCTTGTAATATTCTACAGGACAGAACATAGGGGAGACTTTCTGGTATGTCACAAACATTGCATTCTCACAAGAATTACCACAATGTTAATTTCTTATAAATCTGCTGGGTTGATTCAATCTTTATTTCCTAGACTTCCAGGGACTATTTGGAAAGTAAGATGCATATGGCTTTCCCACAGATTTACATTAACAATTTTAATTTATATAACTAATCCAGTAGTTTGTAATAATGATAGGTTTTCTTATAATGCCTTTATCTTTTTATTGACTTATAGAAGCTATTTACATATGATAGAAAAAGGAAACAATTTGCATGTTCAGAAGAAGGAATGATTTTTTAGTTCATTAAGAGGATAGGAATAGATGAGTTATATTTATCGGTTATTAGGGGTTCAAGAAGCTAACCACTAACCCGAGCTCACTTTGCATCATAGAGAGAACTAGGAGAGAACAAACTTATTCTGATAACTGGAGAGTAAGACCAGCTCTTGGTGCCAGAATTAGAATGCATTTATTGATTATAAAAGGATTTTTTTTGGACATTATAGAAGCTACAGAGATTTACTATTACAAAAATGGCAAGAAAGATATGTTTGCTTGTGATACACCAAGAAGGGGACACATCATGCTACTTTCAAGGTGTTCTTCACTAAGCATCCAAGTTACCAGATTTGACTGTAATTCAATAGTCCCAACTTAAATATTTTCATTTCTATTCAATCACTCACTCAACATTGCTGGGAATATGTAATCATCTCCATCTATTTCTCCTCATCTTCTTAATACTAATGCCAAATCACTTTCTGGTCTTTCCCTTAAGTTTGGGCCAAGTGCTAAGAGAATCAAAAGTCAGTGTAGAAGTCTGGATATTTAGAAGGTGTGGGGAGTGGAGAAGGACTAGGGTGAAGTCAACTAGGGAAGAGAAAGCTTCAATTTGGGGACATTTTTGCCAGCCTTTTTTTTTTTATAAATTTCCTATGGTTGACTTTTCCTGTGATAGACAGGACTTGCCTCTTTATCTGAAGATGGATTTTTCTTCAGCCAATGCTGTTCATGTTCTTACCAGGCATTCAGTGACATTGCCTAAAAATATTTAGTCTGATAATCAAAAGGGCCTTGACCTCTTTGATGAACAGGATGTAGATTCAGATGAGATAGTGATTTTCTGCAAATGCTCCTTGGCTTCTGTGTAATTATAGTTTGCTTTTGAAGGCACACTCTGTCCTCAAGTGCTATGAATGGACTCTGTCTCCCCCACCCAGCCTCCCTGCCTGCCAATGACGTCACCCACCCCCTTTGAGAGTGCAGAGTAAATACAGGTCCCCTCAGTCTCAAGGATGGGAGATGTGAGTGAGGGACTATGGACACAAGGATACAACCTACATCAACGTTTCTCAACTCCTTTGTGTGAATAGTACACTTTAAACTTTATTGATTGATGAGAGAAAGAGAGAGAGAGAGAGAGAGAGAGAGAGATTTGTTGTTCCACTTAGCATTCATTGGTGGATTCTTGTATGTGCCTTGACCTGAGATCGAACCTGCAACCTTGGTTTATCGGGATGATGCGCTAACCACCTGAGCTACCTGGCCGGGGCAGCACACTTATTTTTTGAAATAAAATTTTAATTTTGAAATAATTTCATATTTACAGAAAATATGTAAAGAGAGTTCACAGAGTTCCGTATATTCTACATCTTACGTTACGAGGTACACCTGTGAAAACGAAGAAATCAATATGAGTACACTATTTTTAGCTGGAATGGAGATATTTGGATTCCACTCGTTTCTGCACTAATGTCTTCTTGCTGTTCCAGGATCCAATCCAGGATACTACATTATATTTAGTACAGCAAACTTGGTAGTAGAATTTTGGTTGTGCTGCATTGTTTAATGATGTAGTAAGGACGAGAAACACTACTCAACAAGGCAGCAGCAATTACGACGCCTTTATTGCCACCGTCTAAAAGAGATGTCACCCAGTGTCTATAAAAGCATCCACATAAAATCATTCACCTGGCCAGTGTTGGAATGGAGCCAGTGGTGTCGTGACCGTGCGCTCACTCATCTACTCAGGGGATGTTACACTGTTTATTTTACAGCATAATCTGAGCAAGTGAGACCTCACCCCAAACTGAGGAGAAATGCTGACTTGATATTTTAGGACACAGAATCCCATCAGAAAGACCAGGCTCTGATTTCAGCCTCACCCCGCCCTACTCTGTCAGGATCATTCCCAGGTGGATTTACAAGGACCCAGATGAAAAGCAGACCCACGGTTAAGTTTCTGAAGATGTTGTACAACTTGTGTCTAGGGCCAGATGAATTTTCGTTCTTTTGTCCGTATTTTTTGACTTTTGGAGAGACTGGTAGGAATATTTTCAAATATTGTTTTTTTAAATTGGGGGGAATGTCCTAATCAGGAAAGGCAAAGGGTAAATATAGATATGAGTATATAAGAGTAAAATTATGCAAGATAGTGTAATATTTACTATAATTTAGCATTCTAAACTCCCAACACATTGAATCTTCAAAACCTTATTAGGTTAGTACCATTATTTTTACCATCATAAGGATGGGAAACTGAGGCTCACAGTGGTTAGATGGCTTATTCAAAGTTCATACAGATATTAAATGGTGGAGCTTGGATTTAAATGGAGCAGGTAAGACCCCAAGATTGGTGTCTGTAAACACTGTACTTATACGACCTTTCTTTGTGGTACAGCTGTTTGCAATATGCTGAGTGAACCGAAAGATCTATCATCTGCGCGTTAGGAAAGGGCTGTTTCCAAAATATACCCCAGGGTACCTACTGTCTTGTGATGAATTCTCTCTCAGGAGGAATAATAACTATCATTTATTGAGCATTTGCTACTTGCCGGGCATTGCCAGCTAAAGCTTTGAATGTATTAGCTCATTCATACACAAAACAACTCTCAAGCAGCCTGGCTCATTCCTACCTCAGGGCCTTTCCACTTGTTGCCTACAGCAGTGTTCCCTTTCACAACTCACCCCCATTGCTGCCTCATTAGAGAGG